CCCCCCCCCCCCCCCCCTCCCGCTGCGCCTGCTCGTAGGTGGTCAGGCTCTTCTCGTAGGCGCTGGGCTCCTCGCGGTGCCCGGCGGGAGCCTGCAGGCTGCAGGGGGATGGGGCATGGCGTGGGGCTCCGGTCCCCAATGCTTCAGCCCTGTCATCCCCTCTCCTGCACCCCACGGCCGCGCAGGAGTACCTGGCCATAGCACAAAGCTGGGGGTGCACAGGCTTTGCAGCAATAGTCATGTCCCTCAGGCCACCCCGTGCATGGGTGAGAGCACCCACCAGTGTCCCCCACATACCGCTGCTTCCCCGGCTTCTCTCCTGATGCCAGCAGTGGCGCGGCAGGACGGGGAGCCAGGAACTGCTCCGTCTCTGAGTCAGCGGGGACAAAGGTGATCTGGGGGCAGAAGAAAGGCAGAGCCGGGGGTGGCAGCACAGGGGGTCCCGGCGGCCTCAGCGCGAGTCCCGTTGCTGCAGGTGCCTCCCGCCTGCGCGTTGTGCTCAGATATGTTTTTTTCAGGAGGGGAATCAATGGAGGATTAAGGGAAGCACCACACAGTGCCCACTGTCTGCAGAGCAACCTGGGGAGAAAAGGAGTCTCTTCTGCCAGATCGGCTTCCCAGAAGAAGGGACGTGTGACAGGCAATGTCCTCTGCCAAGGAGACCTGCCAGCGAGGACCCAAAAAATCCCCGAGCGCTGTGCGCCCCATGTGGACACAAAGCTGCCAAAGGGACACTTTACCCCCAGTCTTTCTTTCCATGTATCCCCCCCCCGCCCCAAGTGCAGCTGCACCCCAGGTCACCTTGGAAAGAGGGAGGATTCCCATGGGAGAGCGGTGAAAGCAAGCGGGTTTCCTTGCGTTCGTTCCCTAACACTTGCAGGGAAGGTGCTGAGGAGCCCCCAGAGGGCCCTACCTTGGGGTAGCACTGACACATGCTCCAGGTGATGCCCACGGCCACGAGCAGGATGCCCAAGGTGCAGAAGGTGACGTAGATGTGGGGCTTGTCCACACTCATGATGAAGAGCCCCGTCATCACCAGGAAGAAGCCCAGAATGATGAAGCCGTAGCGAAAAGTCTTCTCCTCGGCCATGGGCGCGGGGACGGGGAGCGCTGCTCTCCGCAGCGGCCGCGCTGCGCGCTGAGCTCGCCCGCAGGGCACGGCGAGGGGAGGTTTCTGCGGCGGGCTCCCCGCTCCTGGGCGGGGCTGAGCCAGCCGGTTTTTAACGGGTTTGTAATGAATGAAAACACGCCGCCGAAATTCCCGGCCCGGCGGAGCCGCCCGGCACGCGCCCAGATCACCTTCCCTGGAGGCACGAGCGGCAGCGGAGCAGGGGGAGGCACAACAGGGCAGCTACCGAGCCTTTGTGGGCCACCCTGCAAAACCCCGGGCTGCTGCTGCCCAAGTTTCAGACTTAAGTATTTAAGCTCCATTCACCAGAATGATGTAAAACAGTGCTATGAGAAGGCTACTTCTGCTCCAAGCTCCCTCCCTGGGGGCTCACCCCGAGCTCTCAGGACACTGCCGAGGGCAACTGGGACAAGTGAAGCTGAAGGCCTGGAGACCCCAGAAGGGACCTGTGGCCCAAGGCAATCCTTGAAGCCTGGGGCTCTTTTATAGCTTTCTGGGTCCCTGCGCGCATCCCCAGCCCCCAAAGAAGCAGGGTGATCCCAGTCCCTTCCCACTCTCCTCCTGCAGCAGTCCTGGGTTCATGGACACTGCCAAGGTGCGCCGGGGTGCAAACCCTCCCCGCGGCGCATCCCGCACCCCTGCCAGAGGGAAGGGCCCCTTGGAGAGCCCGTGGCGCGACAAGATGGCAGCGAGCCAGGACGGGCTGGGCACTGAGGCCAACGTGTTTATTGCAGGCAGACAGGGAGCTGCGCAGCTCAGGGAGTGCCCTTCACGGGACCCCGTCCAACACGGCAAACACATGCGGGCAACACGCAGCACAGGCAGCAGCGCTGAGCATCCAGGGACAGGGTGAAGCGAGGCGCGGGAAGGCAATATTTGGGGACACCAAAGCGGGGACGGGGAGCACGTTAAGCAGGTGGAGGGGCTGACAGGGACATGGGTAACAGCGGGACCGCGGGTGTTGGGCAGGCCCCTCTGCCCCACGCCGGTGCTTTTTGTCTTCACGGCGAGGTGAAAAGCAGTGAGGGGAGCAAACACAGGGGCAGCCACAGGCCA